CTCCTATTGGCCTCAGTTGCTTGTAAGGTATCTGCTTTAGTTTCTCTGCGTTGAGGGCAACAAATGCTAGCTAATTTTTTAGGTGTCTTACCTATCCTCATATCTCCCTTGTGTGCTCTCGCTTTTATCTTGTGATCAAAGTTCAATCCCCTTGTTGTGTTTACAAGTATATATTGTAGGGAAATAAGTCTCGCCTTCATTAGATAACCAAAAAACAGACTCACGACCTTATATCCCAAGAAATGATAGCTTATTTGGTATCTTCCCCTGGCCCAAAAGAGTTCAGGACAATCAGAATCAATTCTGCATTTTGAGATCTCCATGAGTGAACTTCCACCATTTACTAGTCGTATATTCCCACATTTCACACAGTCCTCCCTTTCAGGAAAATTCTCAAGCCCTTCAAGACCCATGAAAACACACAGCTGTATTACCAACACACTTTTTTTTTCTTTTTTGGCATTACTGGGGTTTGAACCTGGGGCTTCATGCTCCCTAGGCTCAGGCTCTACTACTTGAACCATGTCCCCAGCCCTTTTTTGCTTTTTGCTTTAGTTATTTTTCAGGTAGGGTCTCACATTTTTGCCTGGGCCAGCATCAGACTTCGATCCTCATACCTATGACCTCCCAAGTATCTGTGATAATAGGCACATGCCACCATACCCGGCTTATTGATTGAGATGGGGTCTTGCTAACTTTTTTGCATAGGCTGTCCTTGAGCCATCACCCTCCTGATCTCTGCCTGCCAAGTAGCTGGGATTTCAAGAGCTAACACACTTTTCTTTAAGTTGAAAAAGACTTCTAGTTTCTTGACCCCTGTCTTGAGTGGGGGGCTGCTTGTCTGTGAAGGGGGTATTTCTTCAAGATATCAGTGTGAGATGGGGGTAGGAGAAATACTTGGCTAACTGTGCTATAGTTAAGATGTTCTAGCCTGAACACTTGTCTGTGCCAGAAGCCAATCTTCTGTGTTGCTTGCTATGACAACCCTGCTCCTGCTGAGAAATGTGGGGGCAGTGTTCCTGCGATGTAATTCCATCCTATAGTCAGAAGATGCTATTTCCAGACAGGTGCCATGGGGCTTCCAAAGTGCTTTGGTTCATGATCTTGAGTTGTTTTTATGTGGTCCAAGGAAGGAGAATAAAGGTGGTTTTAAAAATTTGCCGACTGCTGGTGGCTCATGCCGTGATCCTAGCTATTCAGGAGGCAGAGATCAGGAGGATGGAGTTCGAAGCCAACCCAAACCAAATAGTTCTGAGCAAATAGTTCCAAGACCCTATCTCGAAAAAACCTTCACAAAAATAGGGCTGGTGGAATGGTTCGAGGTGAAGACCCTGAGTTCGAAGCCCCAGTACCTCAGAAAAAAAAATTAGCCAGGTTCCAGTGGCTCACACCTGTAATCCTGCAGAGATCAGGAGGATTGTGGTTCAAAGCCAGCCTGGGTAAATAGTTTGCAAGAACCTATCTCAAAAATATCCAACACAAAAAAGGGCTGTCGGAGTGGCTCAAGCAGTAAAGTACCTCCCTAGCAAGCATGAGGCCCTGAGTTCAAACCCCAGTACTACCAAAAAAATCAAAAACACCAAAAAACAGACAAAACATCTGGTGTGGTGGCTCATGCTTATAATCCCAGCACTCAGGATGTTGAGGCAGGTTTGTGAGTTCCAGGCCAGCCTGGGCTATATTCTGAAACCCTGTGTCATAACAAATAAAGAACAAGCAAGCAAACAAACAAAAGGAAACAGACAAGCCCACAACAAACTCAAACACATCTACATCATGCAATGATTTTCAGATGTTTATATTCAGTCCAGGAGCATCCGGGTCCCTTTCATGCTCTCTAGGACAGTGTACACTGCTTCTCAGTATGATATATTCGATATATCTCTCTCATGCTCAAACTCCCATAAAAGCTGCCTTTTGAGCTTACATTTTACATCCTTGCATTTAAGGGCATTTAATCATCCCTGTCACCCTCACTTTTCCAAGCTGAAGTCTCATGATTCCCCAGAAATGAACCACTCCAGTAGCCAAGCTAGCCTACCCATTTCTCCAGAATGTGACTTAGCGCTATGCCCTTGTTCATGTTGTTGTCCTCATATAAACGGCTTGCGTTCTCTCTTGAGCCCTGCTTTTGTCTCTTTTACAACATTTGAAATCCACTTATTTTGGGAAGCTTATTGGGACTCCATCAGATTGATCGCTCAGCATTTGGGGATTGACATATTTCTACTATGCATTCTGCATTGTGCAGGTAGGCAGAATTCTTAGGTGCCACCACCCCTTTAGATTCTTAGCCCCCTGGTATCTACATTGCCTCCTCACAGTTATTAAAACAAACACTAACCTAGGTTCTACAGTGAGGAAATTGAGATTTTATTTATTTATCTATTATTTATTTTGTGATACTGGGGATGGAACTCAGGGTTCCATACACTCTAGGCAAACGTTTTACTAGTGAGCTAGATCCCCAGAACATAAAGAAAACTTAATTAAGGTCCCAAATTAGATAATTTAAAGATACCCGAGAAAAAAAAAGATACCCAGGGTAGACCTGACCTAATCAGATAGGTCCCTTAAAGCAAACTGAAGAGATTCAAAGTGTTCGAGGAATTCAGTGAGAGAGAAATTCTCTGTCACTGACCTTGAAGATGGAGTAGATCACACAGCAAGGAATGTAGGTGGCTTCTGGGAGGTGGGAGTGGTCCCTATTTGGCAGCTAGCAATGAAATAGGACCCTCAGTTCTATAACTGAAAGGAACAGGACTTGGACTACAACCTGTGGTCATTTGTTAAGCAGTGATAGAAGACCAATGCACTTCTTTTTGCAGATCCTGCTTTTGTTAATTTCATAGGTGTGTATTAGTAGACTGCAAGTTCCTAGATGAGAGGAAAAGGATTTTTACATTTCTTTTTGTACCTCCTTCTCACTATAGCCATAATAGGTGCTATTGGGAGATATTTAACTAATATATCAAATTATGGGAGATCTAAATCATTGGCCAGGAAGGTTTACTGTTCCTAAGCAGCAGGTAGAATCATTACTGTTACTAAGTGCTTCTTGACTCCCTTTATTTTTTTTGTTGGCACTGGAGTTTGAACCCATCACACTTGGTAGGCAGGTGCTCTACCACTTGAGCTACTCCACCAGCCCTTTTTTGTGATGGGTGTTTTAGAGATTGGGTCTCGTGAACTATTTGCCATGGGCTGGTTTGGAATTATGATCCTCTGATCTCTGCTTCCTGAGTAGCTAGGATTACAGGTATGAGCTACTGGCACCCAGCTTTGCATCCCATGTTAAAAAAAAAAACAAATTCCTGAACATCTGATAACTGCTAGACATCTTCACGTGGATGTCTCATCAGTCTCATGAACTCAGGAAGTCCAACTTAAAATGTCCTCTCACAAACTTGTGCTTCACTCTATATACCCTAATAAAATTCTCTCAATGGCACCTTCAAATCCCCATTTATCTGGGAGCTTAAAGCTTCAGCCATTGTTGACTCCTTCACTCTCATGCCCCCACATTCAATGTGTTGTTAAGCCCTCTCCCTTCACCCCTTCCTCTCCTTTATTGGCATGGCCTGGTGTAATATCTGTCACCTAGATAGTGCAAGAGTCACCTAGCTGCTCTCCTGGGACCAATCTCTGATTAGCATAGCTCTGGTGATGAAATTCCTCTGGCCAACTTACCTTCCAAGAAATCCATTAGCTTGATATTCAAAACTCTCCATGACTAGGGCTGGTGGAGTGGGTAGAGTGGTTAAGTGCCCGCTTAGCAAGTACAAGGCTTGGAGTTAAACCCCAGTACCACACAAAATTTTCCATGGCTTCACTCAAACCCACCTTTCTCATGAGTTTTGTCATTCTTAAATGTGTATTTTGCCTACCTCCTAAGATATTTTGCATTGATGTTTAAAAATTCTTATTTCAAACTGTGATTTCTTTTGCAGGTCTACATACTAACTGTGATCTGCCCTGCAACCTGAAGCTTTTCCTTCCAATTCTCTGCAGTTGGATATTCTCATACCTTGGACTCTTCTGTGTCACTTGGCTTGTTGAATTGCCAAAGGGAAATGTGGTTCCAGAGCCAAATTGTGAGTGCATAGAGTTAAAAACAAAAACAAAAACAAAAAAACCCTCTATTCTACTTGCCTGAAGCTCTCATCCCCTCCCCCAAGACACCTAACATCATTTTATTCAGCGCTGGGAGAATCACTGGAGTAAATGTTGGGATCCAAATCCTACAGATTCATCCCATAGAAAAGGGACCCAGGGCCCCTTTCATAGTTAAAGCCTGTTTATTATTGCCTTTGTGATTTTTAATCTCTGTCTCTCACTGTCTTTCTATCTCTCTCTCTGTACACACATACACACACACACACACACACACACACCTCCCAGTCTCCTGCAACCACAGGGGTGTGTACCGTAGAGTTCCCGCTTTTTAAGAACGGGTTTGGCCTCGACCCATTCCTTCTTCCACTAGTTTGGGACTTGTCAATCTTTTCCTCTGCTGTCCTCCTTCCTCCACCGTAGTCGTAGTGTGTACTTAAATAAATGATGTGGTTTCAAAAGAAAAAAGAAAGAAAGAGTCAGGTCCGTGGTGGTGCATGCAGTAATCCCAGCACTGGGGAGGCAAAGGCAGGAGGATGGCCAAGTTCAAGGCTAGCTTGAGAAACTGTCTTAAAAAAGGAAAGGCGGGGGGAGGAAGCAGAAAACTTCCCAGGATTCCTTTTAGAATCGCCAGTGGAGACGGAGTCGCATCCACTGCTAAATCCTTGTAAACTGCGGGCCTTCGTTTGCCCCAGGCTTTCATCTCACCCCTGGACCATCCCAGCACTACTCGCTGCGTTGGTTCTGGGGTTTAATGACATAAGCAACTTTCGCTCCCCCCCCCGCCCCGTCTTGGTACGGCCTGTCCGGCGTAAGGCGTTCCACCCCCCCCCCTCGCTCTGCTCTCAGGTTGGTTCAGCCCCCGTCTACTCGGGGGTGGTGCTTAGCCGGCGCCAGCTCGACCCTCGACTTCGGAGAGGCAGTGCAGTTCCTCTGGGCGCTTCCTCCCCACCTTCGGCTTCAGTCTCCTCAGGGAGCCGAGACCCTGGTGTATGCGTCACACCTGATCCCGCTAGAGATATGTCTACCCCGGCCCGGCGCCGCCTCATGCGGGACTTCAAGAGGTAAGCTGCCAGGGACATCGGAGGCCGGGGGGGCTGCCTGCCGCGGCACAGGGCGGGTCCCGGAGCGGACGGGGTTGGGTGGAGTGGGGGGCAGCCGAGAGCCGACGTGAACGCCGGGCTGGGGGGCCCTGTCTGTCTCTCTGAAGGTTGCAGGAGGATCCTCCAGCTGGAGTCAGTGGGGCTCCGTCTGAGAACAACATAATGGTTTGGAACGCGGTCATTTTCGGGTGAGTCTGCGTTCCCGGCGCAGGCCAGAGATGGGGGGCGCCGGCCGGTTTAGTCGGCTCCCGGGGCAGGCCTCTTGTGAAAGCGGAGGGTGAAAGGGAAAATGTTTGGGTTTGGCTGGGCCTAGGCGCCTCCCCGGAGCCTGTGCCTCGATTAGTTCAGTTCCCGCTGCTGGGGGAACCGCTTGGGGCTCTAGGGGGCGGGGTGGGGAGTGGTGGCGGTTGGCGCGGCGGCCTGCGCTGTTTTGAGGCCCAAACATGTGTTAGTAGTGGCTTTCCAGCCCAGGCAAAGGTGTTTGATCAGCGGTAGGGATGGCAGACCTTGAGATAGCCAGTCTCCTAAAATGAACTGGGGAGAGGGAGCCTCTGAAGTGGGAACTGACTGTTTTTTTCTGTTACAGGCCTGAAGGGACCCCATTTGAGGATGGTAAGAGAGTTTCTTTAACCCACCTTTCAGGAACCTGATCATCTGGGGAAGGGGTTCACAGCTATCCTGCAAGTGCCTTCTACTTAGCAACCTGCTTTGCCTAGCTTCTGCCTCCTAAAGGCATAGGTGGAAGGCAGAGCGTGGCAGGGTGTTCAGGATGTTGTCTGCTTGATTATAAGTATACGTTTGTTTTTTTCGTTTTCTTTTTTAAAACATTCTGGGCAAGGCAGTCACTTTTCAGAAGGAGCATCATAGCACTGGAAACTAGTAAGTTGCTGACAATCAGCAGAGATCCCAGAGGCCCATGTGCTTCAGAATTTCAACCCAAGGGCAGGAATTGTGTTCAGCAGGTGCTTACTATGTGTTTGTTGGGTGCTGAATGGATCCAGAAATGCGTTACACACAATTATCTGTTTTTGACGATCTGTCAGCCTTATTTCTCTAAGATAGCCTTAGATGAATAATTTGACTGTAATATTTCTTGATTTTAAATGAATTTGCAGTGTGTACTCTCATCAAGGCTTAATGGTCAGTGATCTCAAAGCAGCTTTAGAATTGAGGTTTGCCTTAATGTGCCTACTTGAAGGTTGGACATACACCAATAGGTACATAAATGATTGGAGTTTAACTTTTCAAAACGCACACATTAATTTTTTGCTGTTTAAAAACTTTCTATTTTGAAATATTCACAGATTCATGTGCAGTTGCAGTAAATACTACAGAGAGACTACATCACCTTCCCTCATCCCTCTCCCCCACATACCCTCCCGTTTGGTAATTTCTTGAATGGCTCTACATACTACAATATCACAACCAAGAAATTGACAGTGACACAATTTTACATGCACTCAGTTTTGTGTGTATGTGTGTGTATTTAGTTAACTGTTTCTTGAAAGTTTAATACATTTAAAAGATGATCAAAAGTAAATACTTTTGTTTTTACTTTTAAAGGATATTCTTCAGTATTTGAAGGATTTAAAAAGAAAAGGATGTTTGTATAATTTTTTCTTCCATGATTTATCTTCTTGTGATTTTATAACATTTTGCATACATGCACACATATACCCTTCAGTTTGAAGGTGGGAAATAAAATATTTCTACAAACTACTTAATACATGCTTTTGTTGCTGAGTTGGATTGGTTTTTGATGTGGCCAGTCCCCAACTTGCTGTGAGGTAAGTCATAATCAACCAACTCTATAATTTGTCTCAAATACTTAGATTTCCCTAGGAAACTGTGGCCAGTTACCCAGATATTTTTAGCTTCTCTCTACCTCATCTCCCGGGTAAATATCACTGCTCTTCAGTGCTGCAATGGAAAGAAATGACAGGAGAGAGTGATTCAAAGAGGATACTGCTTTGGTACAGTTAATCATTTGAACTGATCTGTAGCAAGAGCTAGCTACACTTAGTTTTTCTCTGTTAGATTGGTGCTAGTTCTTCGTACCTAAGCTTTTTGTGCAGATTAACTATATTTGCTTCAGCTCTAGTAGGCTTTGTTTTCATTGGCTTGCTTTTTCATTTTACTCTTGACTGTTTTATGCTAGGCAAGGCTTTATTAATAGCATATCACTTTGCTGGAGGTTGGCTACTTAAAATTTCAAGGGTGCTTCTCTTGTTGTAAGTGGTATGAATTGAAAAGGTGCTTACAGAATCCATTATCTACCTGGACTGTCCCTGTTGACATTACTGGCTGTATTTTTGATGGTTGTTATCTCCATCCTGTCATTACTGAAAGGAATTGGGCTAAATGACAGTACCCTTCTTCTATTCATTTTGTCAAACAGCCCGCTATTATCCATGAATGCTTCCTCAGGTGTCTAGAACTCTGTGGCCCTCAAAACAAACATGTGTGACCTTTTTTTGAATATTCTTATTTATAGTTGCAGAATTTATAGTTAAGGAATAGACTGATTAGGGATAGGTGACATGGTTGATTTTGCTGTTTCCAATATGCTATATATATTAAGAGTCCTCAAACAACTTTTGCTTCTTCCTTGTTAACCATTCCTGGTAGAAGTTTTTGGAGTAGCCCGGCTCCAATGAAAGAAAGGAAATCGTAAGAAAAGGAATTTGTAAAGGTAGTTTGATTTAACTTCACACACTTGAAATAAGAGGAGTGTTCTGGACAGCTTATGCTACCAAAACATTGAGGGGAAATATTTCTCTTTTAGAGTATCTTGGCATATATACTGAATACAAAGATTTTGGAATATAATATTCTTCATCACATTATCTAAAATTGTTAATAGACATAGGAAGGTACTAGTGTTTGCTTTTCATAATAGATGTGTTCTTAAGAATTTAAATGTAAATTTTTTTAAAGGATCCCTTAACAAAGTCTACTAAGGGTATTGTTTCTTTTTTGGGTTTTTTTTTTTGGCAGTACTGAGCTTTGAACTCAGGGCCTCATGCTTGTTAGGCAGGCACTCTACCACTTTAGCCAAGTCCCCAGCCCTACTAAGGATTTTTTTTTTTTTGGTGGTACGGGGGTTTGAACTCAGGGCCTTATGCTTGCTAAGCAGGCAGTCTTACTGCTTCACTTGAGCCACTCTGCCAGCCCAGGATGTTCTTAAAGTAATTAAACCCTGTGTTGAAGAAGAGTTTGGGATATTATCTTAAAACTCAGAATTTTTAGTCATCAGAAATTTTTAAAATATAGATGCTTTCTCCTCAGGGGTCACAAAGTAGTAGCCAAAGGGCAGAAAAACACCTGCAGAGGCATTTTCCTTGGACAACTTGGTATTTTAAAAAATTTGAATGTTTGTGTTTTTATGTAGAACATACACTCTTTAGTTCAGCCGTATCAGTCATTATTGCCATATACCAGCTTTTTAACATATTTATATAATTTTCCTAGTCTCCATGTTTTGGCCTCCTTATGAAAATACACAAAATCAGTAGAGAAGGGTGTACAATGGTGTGGCTTAAATTTTTAGTTATTTTAGAGCCTAGCCTTCTAAATATTCTGAGGGTAAGTGTTAGTCTGAGATTGAATAATACTAATTCTATAGTTTTTAACAAAACAAAGTCTTAAACTTTGTTTAAATCTCAGAAACTGCATTGAGGGTTATACTGAAAGACGTTTTGATTGTTTAATGTGGCTAAAACTATGAAATACCTCCTTTTTAATGTGTACATTCAATCAGATTTGGGTGACTGCTTTCAAGTAGACATAAGCAGGTAGCTTCACTTCTCAATATATTAAAAGCTGTTTTAAAAGACTTTTGATTCACTTCTTTGGTAGCTAGGTAACCCTCCTGTTGATGTTCTGGGGGCAGAAAGCTCAAGTCAAGGAGTTTGTGAACCACCACATGTGTACTCAGCTTGTGTTTAACAGTGTGTTTGATGGATGCCAGAAAGCAAGTGCTTGGACTGGAGGTGTGGCTCCAGTGGTATGGTGCCTGCCTAATAAATGCCAAGAGTTCAAACCCCAGCATGACCAAAAAAAAAAAAAACACTGCTTAATATCTGAATTCATTAATTATATATATACTTGTTACAACTTTTTTTCCATTTTTATTAGTACATGAAATTAGGTATTTCTTAGTGATAGCGAAGTTTGGAGTTTTGGGTTTTGTCTCCTTCAGCAAGTACTAGAGATGTAAGATTTTAGCATTGTACCTAAAATGATTGCTCATATTTATGGAGTACTTATTTTGTGGCACTATGCATATTTGCCTCATTTAAGCCTCACAACAGTCTGTGTGGCAGGTATATATGAACCTCATTTTACATGAGGAACTTGAGGTTTAGCCAAGTTGAGCACCTTCCACAAGGTTTCACAGCTAGAAAGTAGCAAAGCAAGGATTTGAGCCCTGATCTGACTGACTGCAAAGCTTGTGCTCTTACCCGCTGTGCTCTGTTTTTCTTGCTTACATGTTTCTTATGTATTGCTTGATCACCTTTAGATATCATATTTAATGATGGATTCTAGTTTGTCTAGTTTTTAGGGCCTCCTGCAACCTTAGGTTGACACATGGTCAAGAAAAACAATTTTTCAATAGTAGTAGCCTAAACAAATACCATTAGAAAGGTAAATTTGTAGGACTCTTGAATGCAATCTAAACCAAAGGTGAGTTTTAAATTATTTCTGCCATTCATTTCCTCTGTTAGTGTGAATGATTGGGTTGATTTTTTATTAAAATACTTTATAAATCATACTTAGGGTTTTGTGAGGGACTGTGAAGTTTGTTATGGCTTAAATTCAATGAAATTTTCAGTATAGAGTTGCTGTTACATGTAAAGGAACCACTGAACACTTTTATGCTTATTCCTTTCTGTTTTAAAAATAACTTGATTACGGGTTGGTATTTCTAGTGTTAATTTTGAATCTTTGTGTTTTATTCTTTCTAGTCCATTAAGACAGCTAATTGAAATAGGCTAGGCTTTAGAAGAATAGAAGACCCAAACTTTGGGTCCAGTTTCTGATCATTTTATTTTAAGGATATTTTCAAAATACCATGGCTAAAGTCATCCTGCAAGGAGTAATTTTGAGTTTGTGATGCTGTCTTTAAGTTTGAGGGGGGTGGGGATTAATGGCAAAACAAAACACAAAGCATCTTTGTGTGGTGATTCTTAGAATATCTGAACATCCTTAGAGCCATTTCTACAGATGTGTTCCTTACCTGGTCTGCCTTTCCTCTCTCTACTGTATCTTTGCATTCTTTCATTTTAATATTTGAAAAAAACGCATGGAGCTTTAAAAACAAAGCACTACTTAGCAAAGTGATAAATAGATTTCTTAACTGATTCTTTTCTAACTTCAGGAACATTTAAGCTTACCATAGAATTCACTGAAGAATATCCAAATAAGCCACCTACAGTTAGATTTGTCTCCAAGATGTTTCATCCAAATGGCAAGTATTACTTACAGTATTTTAAGTTACTCTAATATAGTAGTATCACAGTGGTGTATATAGTGGTATTCCACATTTCCTATTTGTACTACTTGGGTATTTGCTTAGGCATCTTCTGTTTCCTTAAATGTGAACTTGTTCATAGTGGTCTATTGCCATCTTGGTCTTTAGTCCTAGAACTGAAGCAAGAAAGGTACTTTCCCCTTGCTTAGCGTCTAAGAGCCGCCTTTCTGGTTTTAGTGATCTTTGTTTACTTATTAAATGAAAATAAGGATGTGACTGAGGTTTCCTTTTAATATCAGGCCAGATTCCGGTAACTGTGTGTTGTAATTATCTTTACTAGCACTTAGAAAAATAGTTTTGCACATCAGAATTACCATGGAACATTTTAAAAATACAGATTATAGCTGGCCGCTGGTGGCTCACACTTGTAATCCTAGCTACTCAGGAGGCAGAGATCAGGAGGATCTCGGTTCCAGGCCAGCCCAGGCAAATAGTTCCGTGAGACCCTATCACAGAAAAACACTTCACAGAAAAGAGCTGTTGGAGTGACTCAAGGTGAAGGCCCTGAGTTCAAGCCCCAGTACTGAAAAAAAAAATACAGATTCTTTAGGCCTACCAAATACTAGATTGTGCTGCTGAGAGCCAGGCATACATTGTGTTGGAAAAGTGCGACAGGTGATTCTAATTTTCACTTTTTTTCCTAGTAGTAAGCTTAGAGTGGCTTGTTGTTCTAAGTTAATGAAAGTATTTTTCATGGTATCTAATAATATCTTTATGCCAAAATGGAACCTTGAGAACTCTGAGCTGTCTTTCATTATTTTAGATAGGAGATTATAGTTTACAAATTTTGAGGAATCAGTGTCCTACAATTCTATGGCTAAGGACCCTTTAGAAAATGTGTATGATTTCCCAGAAAGTAGGGCTCATTTTAGAAAAATGAACACAGTATCTTCCAGTTTTATACCAGTCACATTTGAGAGTCTCTGATCACCCTGATTACTTGGGATTGTGGTTCAAGTGGTAGAGCCTAGCAAGGTCAGGGTATTGAGTTCAAACCCCAGTACTGGCAGAAAACACCATGATTTCACTAGTAAGGATTATGATTCATCTTTTTTTTTTTTGGACACATTGGGGTTTGAACTCAGGGCTTCATGCTTGCTAGGTAAGTGCTCCTACTGCTTGAGTCACTCTGCCAGCCTGACTCATCTTTTTAGGCAGCTAATTAAGGAGTTAACTAGGGATTTATTATTTAAGCTTTGAAACAAAATATTCTTGGGTATTTTTTTATCTTGACTGTATTAAAACTTTAGTGGATTGTTATGTTTAATATACATACTTTTATGCTTTTAGTCTATGCAGATGGTAGTATATGTCTGGATATACTTCAGAACCGTTGGAGTCCAACCTATGATGTGTCTTCCATTTTAACATCCATACAGGTGAATTTTTCCTTAATGTGACTATGACCTTTGATGTGTTTATGTTAGTGATTGTTTTTGAAAGTTGTAACTTAGACCTTTTTAATTTTGGTCAAAGCTTATCGATAAGAACAGACCATTAATACTCAAGCTATCAGAAAACGTGTATTTGTCTAAGCTACTTGCAGTTCACAAGGTTAGTATGGTAATGATAGCAAATTTAGCTATTATTTAGGACAATCCAATTGTTGACAGCCATAAAACAGCTGTTTGTTCCAAATATATATATTTTTTGCATTGAGAAACAACTAACATTTACATTTTTTTTCTCTGTAGTCTCTTTTGGATGAACCCAATCCCAATAGTCCTGCAAACAGCCAGGCTGCTCAGCTGTACCAGGAGAACAAGCGGGAATATGAAAAGCGTGTTTCTGCAATAGTAGAACAGAGCTGGCGTGACTGTTGACCACAGGTGGAACAAAAGAAGAGGCTGGCTATAAGAAAAATATATATTGATGTGTTTATCACCTTCTTATTCCTTAATGTCATTCATTACATTTACTTTATTAAAAGCAAATAGTTGTCGTGCTGTTTCCACCTTCCCTTGCCAAGCTCTTCTGTCCCTTCTGCCCTCCTGTTGAACATCAGAGAAACCCTGTATGAAATCCAATGTACTGTACCTGGGTTACTTGCAAACATTACTAGTGCTTAACTCTTTGTTGTATTTCCTTTCCAAGCCTCTGGGCAGTTGTTTGTGTTACTGTACTTTACACTAAGCTTTTAAGGTAAATTGTTATATAAGTGGTTCTAATGTATAGTCTGATGACCAGGATGTTATTTTTAACAAAGTGATTGCTGAATTCATGTTTCATTCTGGCTGGTCCTTCCCTTTTGTTAGATTCAGAAATGAATGTGTTTAGAATATGGCCTGTAGAAAACATGGAAACAAATCTGTATAAACATCAGTTTTGAAAGAATGAAAGCTAAAAATCCTATGATACTTATTTCTAAGCAATATGAATTTACTGGTAGGGAGGGAATGAAGGGCTTGGCCAAACAACTGAAGTAATTGTAATAACTGACATATCCACTCCTTTAAGATACTGACAGGGCACACCTGTTAAAAGTTTCTGAATCCTGGTCTAAGTTTTTTGCTTTTCAAAGAGGTGTGGGAGCAGAGGAATGGAAGCAATCATCAGTTTTGGAGTTAGGGAAAGTTGAAGATCCTTTAATCTTTTTAAAGGAGAAGTGTCACCCTAGATAAACAAACTTACAATTCATCTTTATTTTTTTTTTAGTTTTAATTAATTCAAGGAAGGGAGCATATTTGTGGCAAACTATTTTCCATCTAAATCCTGAGTTTCTGCTGCATGCTTTAGTTTCTTCCCTTTCAGTGTTACGAGAAACTTTAAGTCAAAGTCTGCAATCTTTCATTGGATATTCACACTTTTAGATATAGCGTGGGACAAAGCATATGTTTTGTTCAATGTTTGTTACCTTTTATGCATTCATTGCTCTTCTAACTTTGCACAAGTAACCCATGTAAAAAATGTACATTTTTCAAAAGTTGTAAATAAAAATAACCTTAAAACTTTGTAGTATTATTATATTTTAGCTCTGTGTGAACTTTTAGTACCAACTTCTTTGGGGATAGCCAAGCTACTGCTCCCCCCTTTAAAATATTATGGTAAGTGCAAAAATACTGTTTCTGGGAGTGAAAAGGAGAAATCAGTTAATACTGTTGTAAAGAGCCTTTTTCTCTTCATAGTGCTAAATACTTTTTTTAAAAAACATTTTCAGCTGGGTACTGGTGGGTCACGCCTGTAATCCTAGCTATTCAGGAGGCAAAGATCCAGGAGGACTGCAGTTAGAAGCCAGCCCAGGCAAATAGTTTGTGAGATCCTAGCTCAAAAAAAAAAATCACAAAATTAGGCCGTTGGAGTGGCTTAAGGTGTAGGCCCTGAGTTGAAACCCCAGTACTGCAAAAATTTTCATGGGCTATAAAATTATTAAATAATTGTTTCAGTAAACATTATGGCCAGTTAAGGGAATGAAATTATAAAGGGAGGGAATAAACAAATCAGTGTCCTCAGAGACCAGAAACTAACTTGCTGATCCTGACAGTCTACCTCTTTAAAATACCTACCTGAAAAACACTATCAAACTGTATTGGTGTCTTAAATCCTATATAAAGTTTGGGAGTACATCACATGTTCTCTCATATACAGAATCTGACCCTTAAAAAAAGTGACACTGGGCTGGAGGAGTGGCTCAAGTGGTAGAGCACCTGCCTAGTGAACCCAAAGCCTTAAGTTCAAATCCCAAAACTGCCAAAAAAAAAAAAAAAGTGACCCTAGTATAAGAGGGTGAAGCCAAATGTGTGGAGGTACTTCATGCACATGTGTGAAAACAAACGAAACTGTTAAAACTGTCTTAAAAGGGGAGGAGGGAAATAAGAGTAGTAGAGAGGGTGAATTTGATCAAAGTACATTATATTCATGTATGACATTTCACAATGAAACTTTTGTATAAGTAATATACACTAATAGAAAAAAGTGAAAAAATAAAAGTCAATGGAAATGTAGTTACAGGCAATTATTGCATGTTCTGCTTCCCTTGTAAATGAACTGACCTTTAAAAATAAAATTGTTAGCTGGGCACTGGTGGCTCATGCCTATAATTTTTGCTACTTGGGAGACTGAGATTGGGAAGATCACAGTTCCAGGCCATCCTGAGCAAACATTTGCAAACCCCCATCTCCAAAGTAACCAGGGCAAAATAGACTGGAAGTGGTAAAAAAAAATAAATTGTTTTAATTCTTCCCCATCAAAAGTTTGGGAGTGCAGGTATCCTCCCATTACCATGTTTAAACATAACTGCTTTCTTCTGAGGAGCAACCTAACACATTTTAAAGAGAGAGGGACAATTTCATTATTTTTTTTTTGGCGGCACTGGGGTTTGAACTCGGCCTCACGCTTGCTGGGCTGGCACTCCTACCACTTGAGCCACACCACTAGCAAGGACAACTTTATGAAAACTATCATGCCTTGGTGATCCCTGGGGGGCCTAAATGAAATTAAGCCCTTATGATGCATGTACCCCACTCATCCTCTAAGATGGGTACTTAAGCCTTAACATGGGAAGTTCAATCTGCACTGCACATTAACTGGATTGTTTCACTTACAAGCAATTCTTCAAATATGCTTAGCCATTTCCCCTAAAGTCCATTTCTGCTTCAAAATAGGACCCCACTAAGTTAAGTCTCCAGTTGATGGATGAATTAACTTTCTCATACTGCCATGGTAGGTACCTGTTTATCATACCTGAAATAATTTAAGATGAGACTGGGAATGGGCAGATTTAGAAACATTTTATTTTGAACACCCGAGAAACACCACCACTCCCAATCTCTTTCATGGGATAATCCTTTCAAAATATTATAGCCAACAACCTGATCCCCCCGCAATGGTCAAAGGTACCATTAACCAATCATTCGAACATTTATGATTATTGCCTTTTTTCCCTTTACAGTATTTAATAAGCACCACAGGCTGCTTGCAGGGTAATAATTATAACAAAGTTAACTAAAACAGATTTGGAAGGTTCCTTTTCAAATGGCAGATTTGAACTTGTCTTCAATTATGTACCTGCTGATGTGGGGAAAGGGATATGCTGAAGAACCAAAGTTGTAATTAAGAGTTCTTTATTTAGGACTCAAGATGAATTTTGAGGGTTACCCATAAAATGAATGCTACTAAAAACAGAACCCCTTAGCCAGGTGCTGGTAGCCCATGCCTGTAATCCTTGCTACTTGAGAGGCTGAGATCAGGAAGATCGTGGTTCAAGGCCAGACCAGGCAAATAATTCATGAGACTCCCCCCCCATATCCAACTCCAAAATAACCAGAGCACAATGGACTGGAGGTGTGGCTCAAGCAGTAGAGCACCTGCTTCGGAAAAAAAAAGAAAAAAACCCAGCAGAATGCATATTTCCATTCATTTTGCAAAGGGGAAGGAAAAAATCCAGAAAGTAGATCTGAGACTCACTGATGTGTGTTTGTATGTAAACAGTTCCTCAGCTTAACATATTTAATCCAAATAAAATTGAGACTGCTCATGTACTGTGCAAATTTTATAGCAAGGTTACTGAGCTAAAAGATGACTGCTACTTCAAAGAAAGAAGAAAATACTGGAACCAATTAAAGGGACAAAATGGAACAGCAAGGCTGTCAGCAGTTTATTCTTGTCAACTCCGTTTTTAGACATTATTATTATTTTTTTTGGAGATACTGAGGTTTGTACTCAGGGCTTCATGCTTGCTAGGCAGGCGCTCTACCACTTGAACCATACCTCCAACCCAACATCACTTTATTCTTAAGCAGAGTTAAGTGATTTTGCTCTAATTTTGCATCAGTACCAAAGCTGATCTAAAAAGTTCAGAAATCTGGCCCCTCAAAACCAGCAACCAAATTCTTATATACTTGACCCAATTATTTAGGAGCCTTAACCGTAACTATACTAACCTTCTGTTTTGTTAGAGTCATCTATTTAAACAAATCTGATTTATATGTAATATTTCCCTCCAAAAAATTATTTTGGGAAGAAGAAAGACATGTAAAAAGAAACAACTCATGTTTTCACATCTTGTAATCTCCAAAACCACTCTTACTCAAGAGAATCCAAGACAGGTTTTTCTACCTTGCTAATTGAACCACAGCTTTCCAAGGTTGGCAAAAACCTATAAAGATTTTAACCTAGTTCCCTTTGCCCATTGCTGAAGTATTAAGTGCAAAAATAAGACGCATACCTCATTTCTTCTCCACTGGCAGAAAGCAACTATGATACTGTTAGTCACCGTAGGTCTCTATGAGTTAGAGAGATCCAGGTGTAAAGGCTAATCTCTTTCTGGTTTTAAAACAACCATTTAGCTATAGTTTCTTGGTGTAAAATGCAAAAATTAGGGCAAAGGAAATTGCTGTTTATTATGGACCAATTACATGTCAAGCCTGCTAAATGTTTTAAGATATGGCAAACAACCTAATCATCCTCAACATCACTTCACTGGAGGTGCTTAACTACTAGCGCTCATCTGTGATGGTATCGGTGAGGTACTCTTAATTCATCTGAAGTACAACATCATATAAAAGTGAATAGCCAAACAGCCTAAGATTTGCTTGAACCCAACATGTTGATCCATAGACTGATTCTGTTCCTATCTGCTAAATCATTATGTTCAGTCACATGTGCTCGACAACTCAAGTATTTTGTGCAAACACCACTTCCCTTCTCCACAGACCCAGACACCCAAAATGTCACTGCTAGGCTGCTGCCCAGAAACAAGCACAGCACCAGTCTGATCAACTTTGGCTCCTTTTTATTCAGGAAGCATACACTAATTCTTTTTATACATTTTTTTTTACATTCCAGAAATAAGCGAAAATAGCAGTTTTAAATATGTTACAAAGTTGGCTTTTTGGGCTTAATAAGCTTTTTGAGAGAGGGACAAGCCAACTGACCTTTTCATCAAAGCACCAATGTACCTTCAGTCTTTTACCGAGCTCTACCACAGCTGTGGTTG